GGGTTCGAGTCCCGATGATGTGGATATTTTTCAATTTACTTAATTCTTCCAGCTGCATCGTGGCTCAGGAGTCGACTCAGCCTCTAACAGAAATGAGTACCAGGAACCTTCCTGGGGGGGGGGGGTAAAGGGAGGCCGGTGAGTAAGGCTGGCTGACCTTACCGCCATCTGTGAGCCAATTGTCTAAAGAAAATGTGAGAACCACGACGTCTCATAATCCTATTGGCTTTCACGACCCGTTATTGGGATAGCTGTACTCTTTTTTTATCCTTTGTACTTATTACGGTCTTAATCCATGAGAATATGCATGGCAGATCCCAGAAACCTACTGGAAATGCAAGTAATTTTCAGTTTCTATTCGACTGTTATTGCTCGCAAAAAATGTGATATTGATACGTTTTCTTAGATTGAATATAAGCTTAAGTAAATTTCCATTAGTTTGGATACACAATAGACATACTCGAATAACTTGTTTGTTCACTAACTTGTCAACATCTGCTGGCTACACAATCAAATCATACGACACCGAAACCCAAGTTCATTATTCCTCCTCATTTGTTGTGCTGCAAGCAGTGACTCTTCACATTCCAGAAATGTTTTGTTACCGCGGTGACTGCGCAGTTTACAATAACAAGCGGCAAATCTCTTATTGGCTTCAGATTTGTAATGGAGAAGGTTGGTTAGACAGGACCTCCAACGACTGTAAGACTATTATAAAAAGATTTGGAAATCTCCAATAAATTAAGACTTCTATTGATTTCCAAACGTTTGAATGGAAGAAACTATTACGTTACAACGTCATAAGTTGGCAATTTATTCTTATGAAAAGATAAAAATGAATGCATCCCTGATGCGTGTTAAAATGTAGGTGATAGATCCCCCTTCTTGTGGATGTACGATAATAGGCATTGAAATGGTACAATGTTGTTAAAATATAGTGATCAATGATCACAAAGCAAGCTGACAAGGTATATAGAAAATAAAACTGCTGATTCGTTTTTATAATAATGACTCTCAGTCGTCTTATTGAGTCATTTATGTCGATGTTTAAGAAGTCCCAAAGAAAGTAATTTATCAATTAAACTAATATAATTAAAATACAAAAAAAGAAATCAGAAATTTAGTCCATACTGACTCACTTACAAAAATTAAATTTTCTTGAGTGGGGTATGGGGTTTGTTACGACTCCAGTAGTGGGCACTTTAGGTTGTAATACTGAACTTCAGCACCCTGTTGCACTCTGTAGATCCGACTTTCGGAGCTTTTGTGAACACGGTAATGTACAGCCAGATTTGATAAGAGACAGCAGTTCTGTTTTCTAACTGTATGACTATCAGCTTCTCAAGGACACTGCTGAGTGGAATTTGCTATGACGCAACACGTTATTTCTTTCGTGAAGGACGTGGAGCTCCACTGTGCAGAACTCAGACGGCTCTGGTGGGAAGGATGCTTTGGCGGCTTCCTTCTGTTTATCTTGGAAAGTAACAACATGACATCTTCAAGCAGGAACCAGTTCACAGTTAATTACATCCTATCTTCAGGTAGCTGAGGATGGCTGTTACAGCCATCGGTTGGGCGCTTTCAGCAGCCATATCCTCCTCTAAATTCATCAGTAACAACACATTTGCTAAATTAAGCACCACCCCAAGAAGACGCAATTATTAGTGGAGACTGGACACTATATGGAATTTAGTTGTCTGCTTTATGCCCCTGCCGCGTTACTCTCGGGGAAACAGCATCCGGATAGCTCTCAGACCCGGTCTGGAACCTATGAAGAACAAAATCTCTTGTCTCTGCCGGGAATCAAACGCCGATTCCTCGGTCAATCCTGTAACCTATTTGCTATAACGAATGAGCTATCACATAGTACTAAGAGCAGAAGAGTGTAACACTTAAGTGAATTTACTTATCAGTCCATTTCCCTCTTTGTGGCCTCAAAAGCATCCGCTTTCGTTACCAATAACATAACCCTAGCTCAGTAATATACCTCACTCTCCTAGGCTCAACTTATACAAATTTGCAAATATCAAGTCTAATATACAGGATTAGATAGTTATGCCATGCACACGTCTACTGATAAACCAATTATCTCCCCTGTAATTAAATAATTAAGCACCATGCCTCAAAGACTTATGAGGGATTGACCTCGACACTAGATGAGGGTGAGTAATCAGCTTCATGCCCCTGCCGCTTTACTCCCGGGGAAAGGACTCTCGATACCGATTATATATGAGATTATATTTAAGCATCCTGTTGCACTCCATACGATAAATGATATAAACTCCGTCTCAAGTGCAAACAATATATTTTGTGTCTTTTGATCTTGCTCCCTACACTACATGTTTCGGCCTCAGACGGCCATCATCAGGTGTATAACACTCACGTCGCTGTCACACTGCACCCAGTTCAAAATTTAACATCTAAAATACTCTCCCTGTCATTATCAACTTCTACTTCGTTGATAGCTGTCCACCCGTAGATTACTTCACACACGTTAATTTTGACTTTATTGTAATAGCACCATAATAAAATCTTTAGTTCTAATTTTAAAACTTTAAATTCTTGTCCAAATTTTAANATGACAAATTTTAAAATTTTAAAATTGTTAGGGTTATTCGCCCTGTGTTTGAAGTGCTGCAGCGGCTAGTTCTTGTTTCCACACTGTATAGGTGTTATC